TTTGACACGCTTGTGGTGGGGCTGGCTTTTTCATTTTTTGCACGCCAAAAAACTCTTTTCTTCCACGTTGATAATAACCCATAACGACTCTGGACAGACTATTTTGGTCTTTGGTTTGAATGGAAATTTCCAGCCTGAACATAGTTTTCCAACCCATTTTTTCCGCAAGACTATCAAATTAAAGACAAATGAAAACAGGTCCCAACTTAACCATGGAATGGTTAACAACTTACCATTTGAATAAGTAAAGATTCCCAATTAGTTACATTGACGATAACATATCCTAAAATGACACGCTTCAAGGAAAAATTAGGGCCAAAATTGGAACTTGAGTGGATTATTTTGAGCGCTTTCAAAAGGGCTAAAACTGCCAAAAAAAAAAAAAAAGGGCTAAAAGAAGGAGGAGGAAAAAATTACACCTAGTGATTGGTGGGCAATCAGCATTTGCAAATATTTATACATGCTGCTATTGCTATTATCAATGTGGTGGAGTGAGGTCAGACGTCACCGGCTGCAGAATCCATCTCTACGCTGTCTGAGGTGGGACAAGGCATTAAATAAAGGACAACCAAACCTGTGTTGTGTTAGATGCTACTGCTTTATTTGATTACTCAATTTGTGGAGCATTTCTAAATAAACTCAACTCCAATAATGGAGCATCGCAGATACAGAGGATTTGGTAGTATGATGGTAGTAGAATTAAGCAGCACCTTGTTAATTGTCCAACAATAAGGAGAAATATATTCATTGAGGATCTGATATTCGGTAGAATCTTTGCATTTACAGGCCTCAGTTACAGAATTATGGGAGGAGGAGGAGAAGATGGTGACGTAAAAGCTTCCCTCTTAGACTCAAACTTCTCTTCGGCATCAGCAGCATCCTGTACTGAATCGAAAGGGACCTCTCTCGTTCCCGCAATGAAAAACGGTAACCGCATCTCTTTCTGATCTCCGTCTTTTCTCTTCTCTTCCCTTTTCATGTAATCCAAGCCTTATTTTTAATGATGATCAGGTAATAAGGATCTTCTGGGACAACAAAACAGTGGCATCCTTCCATTTCATTTATTTTGCTAGTGACAATTTTTGCCATCACCAAAATCTGGACCATCCATAGCATTTCCATCTTTAGATCACGATGCAGTGGTTTTCAGGCCCATCCTGCTTTTAAGCACTTTACCTTTCATCCACATATAATTGGCATGATATACTTGTGGAACCCAAAAAAAAAAAAGGAATCTTTTTAGTGGGAAATCCTATTGTCGCCCTTCTTTATTGATTTACTTTGCCCAAGTCAAGGTCATTCTCATCTTCATCTTGATATAATTTTCCTGAAAGATAAATATGTACTATATGTTTTTTTTTTTATTTTAAAAATCCCCGAATTTTGTTCATCCGGGCTATTCCTATGCCCAGCTGACAAATGTGTGTTAACAACTCCAACAATTCAGGAAATGTATGGACTGCTTTGGCGCATATAATAACAGGAGTAATAGGGTCAGGGGTACTGTCACTAGCATGGAGCATGTCAAGACTAGGGTGGATCGCAGGTCCTCTGACGATGCTCTGTTTTGCATCGGTCACCTTCATTTCGGCATCTCTTCTCCGAAATTGCTATAATTCTCCTGATCCTGAGTTTGGTCCAAACACAAATGCCTCCTTCCTTGACGCTGTTCAAAGGATTTTAGGTAAGAAGTCCACTGGGTTGTCATGGAGCCCAAAAACACTACCGTCTGTTGTGTACTTCTAATGTTTTGCCAATTTTCACGTTTTTATGATTATAGTAAATTTTGGATTCTTCTGCGATTGGTTTCGTTCTTTCCTGCATTAAACAGGATTCTTCGACTTCTTGCATGATGAGGTTCGACATAGTCTCATGACGAACTGACTCTTGTTGTTTTTTTTTTTTTTTTTAACTTGAAAATAAAGTGAAGTTAGTAGTAATAAAAGTGCATGCTCCACTTGTATCTCAGGGAAAATGAATGGAAGGATTTGTGGAGTAGTAGTTGTTATAAATTTCATCAAGGTTGGAATTGTCTATACAATAACAGCTGCTATAAGCATCAGGTATTTCATCACATCCATCAATAATTCCTTTAACTAGAAAATCCATCTGGCTTGATGATTCTCACCTTTTTTTTTTTTTTTGATTTGTTAGAACCACTTTAATAGAGAATGCACAGCAGATTTTCAGTGTCTTTAAAATTAGAATCGTCACACACCATGAGTTTTACTTGACAATTGTCCTGGCCTATCATGATCAATAGGACAATTTGTTACGCTAAACCATAAAGCACCTAAGCAGTGCAGTACAGGAGAATTTGGATGATCTCTAAATTGTTCTTCGGTCATGCCCAGACAAGAGCCTTTAGTTTTGTAAAGACCGATGACTGTCATATGAGCATTCTTTCAATTGATGCAGGGCAATTCTGAAATCAAACTGTTACCATAACCAAGGACATGAAGCTTCCTGTGATTACAAGACTTCTACTTACATGCTTTTATTTGGGGTGATCCAAATTTTAGTATCACAGATACCTGAATTCCGGAATATGAAGTGGCTTTCTGCTGTTGCAGCCATCATGTCCTTCACATACTCTTTGATTGGTTCTGGACTTGGCTTAGCCAAAATAATAGGTACATCCTGAACGTGCTACTTCTTTCATCGCCATAATATTATTGTCTGAGGAAACGAGGAAATAATAAATTATAAAGTTTCTTTCTAGCATCTTAACCGAACGGCTACAGGAGATGAAGCCCCCAAAGAAAATTGACTTTCTTAACTTAGAATTGCAGAGAATGGAGAAGTAAAAGGCAGCATAGGAGGCGTTCCTACTTCTACTGCTGCTGAAAAAATATGGTTGGTTTCTCAAGCACTTGGGGACATTGCTTTTGCCTTTCCCTTCTCTCTTTATTTTCTGGAGATACAGGTGCAGACACTTAACTACCATGTGGAGCTAATTTGCTTGAAAGAATTATTATGGTAATACGGGTACATATATGAAACTTCTTTCAGGACACTTTAAAATCACCTCCATCAGAGAAGGCCACAATGAAGAAGGCATCTATTAGTGCCGTCTGCATTACAACCTTTTTTTACCTTTGCTGTGGAGGGTTTGGGTATGCAGCTTTTGGGAATTCCACTCCAGGAAATCTTTTGACAGGATTTGGTTTCTATGAGCCGTATTGGCTCATAGATTTCGCTAATGCTTGCATTGTTCTTCATCTCGTTGGAGGATATCAGGTACCAGCACCACTCTCTGTTAACAATTCTGTTTGCCACTCTAGGATTTCTTGTACAACTGGTATATGTTTGGAGTCACTTCACGTTGAATATCAACTCATATTAACAGTTGCTTCACATGCTTCATTCGCTTTTTCCCTAGCATGCATGTGACCTCAATACATGATAAAATTAACTCATGAAACTTCTTAATAAAAAAACATTCAGCAAGTTGCTGCAAACGAGATGTGCCTTCCCCTTTTTTGTTTGTTTGTCTCTTTGCTCCTAATCATCATCATAAATTCTTATACTACAACTTCTCAAGAGCTTTTGCTTCTTCAGATATTCAGTCAGACACTATTCGGTACTGTTGAAAGAAGATTAGCCAGGCAATTTCCCGGGAGTGGAATTGTGCATGATAACTATAGCTTCAAACTCCCTGCAATGCCAGCACTGCGACTGAATGTCCTCAGGATCTGTTTCCGTACTACATACGTCATATGCATTACAGCAATTGCAATGATCTTCCCTTACTTTAACGAAGTTGTGGGAGTGGCTGGAGCCATTAACTTTTGGCCCATTGTCGTGTATTTCCCGGTTGAGATGTACATAATGCAAAAAAATATAGAATCATGGACACCCAAAGCTGTTATTCTGCGAACCTATAGTATTATGTGCCTTGTGGTGATAGTGTTTGCATTTATTGGCTCTGTCAAAGCCCTCATAAGTGCAAGGTTCAGGTAGTAATATTGTTGACCCAAAAAAAAAAAAAATTTAAACCAAGCTAATTAGAATTTTAATAGTTTTAGAAGTTGATTTGTTATTTGGTAACTAGATTAGAATTTGTCTCAAAGTTGTGTTTGGTATTGGAAATTGTAATGGTGATGTGAGCAAATATATTTGGGCAAATAATCTCTTGTCCAACTTTTGTTATTGAGAGACTTGTGATGTTTGAGTTATAAAATTATTTCCTCTCCAGCATATAAAATTCTTTTCATTCCTATTATTTTGCTCATTCGCCTGTAGTTTGATGGTTCAGCTGCGTGACAAAAGAATTACTATGATGCCCAGAAACTGTTCAAAGAGGGCAAGTTCGAAGAAGAGAGAAGAGTTTGCCAGTGGCTTGTTTTGGTGGTAAGCGAGCCAACGCAGTTTAGTTTAGTCGTACCTACTTGTACGGAACCAACGAACATGCAATGCAATAGCACCACCATGAATGAAGAGGAGAATAAACACCCACCAGCCAGTCTTGGCATCAGGAAAGCTTTGCAATGCCAACGAATTATGATTTGTTTAACTCCTTCAAAACGAAGATTGTTTTGCGAAAATTGTGAAAGAAGAAGACAAACCCACTCGTGCTGAGAACCTTAAATCCAAGCCAAAGTCCAGATTCTAGTGATTTTGCATGACCATATCAGAAAGCCCACCCAACTCCAGGAGTCAAACCTCAGCAGAACGAGAGAGAGAGAGAGAGAGGGAGGGAGTTGACCGGGCGTCTTGAGGGTGAGCTACCGGCCAATGTCTCACACGCTCAGCAGCGTTGAATTCTTTAATGAAATCATGCGCATTTGATGTCATCCCTTTCATTCCTATGCTATAAAACCATGTTCTATTTATTTACACTCCGTGCTATACCAGTAAAATACATCCCAGATTAATAAACTCCAACGAGCAAGACTACCCCTTTTGTTTTTTCACGTTTTCGGATTTGTTATTTAAGGTTAGGTTGAAGAAAATTGTTGCAACAACTAGCCTATCCTTCCAATCCATCTCCCCATCTCTCTCACTTGCACTACAGCAACTGCCCCGGAAGCTTTTTCTCCGGTCTGCTACGACTGGTAACTAACAGAGTGGAGCTTTCTGAGATGGGACGAATTCCATGCTGCGAGAAAGACAACGTCAAAAGGGGTCAGTGGACCCCGGAGGAAGACCACAAGCTCTCTTCCTACATTGCTCAACATGGCACCCGCAACTGGCGTCTTATACCCAAACATGCTGGTTTGTGCTGAATCCTTTAATGCTATATCAGCTACAAAGAGTAGAATATTACTACAAGTTTAAATGAGAGTAATGCGGGCAGTGTGTGACTTTCATGGCGGTAACGCATTGCCACTCTTTGTCAGGTTTACAGAGATGTGGAAAGAGCTGCAGATTACGGTGGACCAACTACCTCCGTCCTGACCTTAAGCACGGCCAATTCTCGGATGCAGAAGAGCAGACCATCGTCACTCTGCATTCAGTTCTGGGGAATAGGTATCTCATTTCATATATCTATAATTATGTAACAAAACAACCTAGAATTTCTACTTTGTTTTGAAGTACGATTTTTCTCTAAAAGATTAGCTTTTATCATTTTGGTACAACAGATGGTCTGTGATTGCAGCTCAGCTGCCTGGTCGCACCGATAACGATGTCAAAAACCATTGGAATACCAAGCTCAAAAAGAAGCTATCAGGCATGGGTATCGATCCCGTCACTCACAAGCCTTTCTCTCACCTCATTACTGAGATTGCCACCACTCTGGCTCCACCGCAAGTTCCCCACTTGGCAGAAGCAGCCTTAGGGTGTTTCAAGGATGAGATGCTCCACCTCCTCACCAAGAAACGTATTGGCAGCTACCAAATGCAGCAAATAGGTTTAACACCAGTTAACACAGCAGCTACACAAGTTAAGCATGAGGATAGGGACGAAACCATTGAGAAGATTAAGTACGGAATATCAAGAGCCATAAAGGACCCTGAAACTTCACCTACAAACAAGCCTTGGGACCCTGTTGTAGCAGGACCCGCAAATTTTGCTGGAAGCTGCAATGCATTTGCTGCCCCAGATTCCGGGTTTCATTATGGCCTTTCATCCCTTGTCAATGAAGGAAATGGATCTGCATGGAACCAGAGCATGTGCCCTGGAAGCAGTGCAACAGGAGACCGACAATGCCAGCTGGATGAGAAACTCGAAGATGAAAATGGTCAAGACTGGAAGGGTGGAAAAGAAATGAGAGATGGGGCCACCCTTTTCAATTCAGACTGCGTTTTGTGGGATTTACCATCTGAAGAACTAATGAGTCCAATGGTCTAAGGAAGAGCACAGAATGACCACCAACGGGCAAGAACATCTTATTCATGTAAAAATAATAATGTTCTCGAACTGACAAAGATATGTAAATAAATTCATAATAAATTTGTCGAGGCAGTAGAGAACACTGCCCTATGTTCCAATAATTTTCCCTGTACATGTCTCCGCTATCTCTCTGGCAGGAAGAATTATATTAAGCGAAATATGATGATGAGGAGGATGTATCTGCAAGAACCTGCATATACAAACAAAGCATTAGAGTTGATACGTGCAAAAAAATTATTAAGGTACTAAAAAGAGCAAATTTGTACGAGCAAATATTACTGAGATGAATATACCTCCAGCTGGTCTTCACTAAAAGCATCTTTTTGGATATTCCAGGTGTCAGCATGCGTCCGTCGGAATTCTGCAACTGCTTTTGTGACCGTGGATTTAACAGGTGATGGCTCCGAAACAAAATGAGCAAGTAATGTAACATGCTCAGGCAGCCAGCTGAAACAATATATTGTACTTGTCACTGAGTGGATCACTGATAATATAAAACGTGCTGCTTAGGGTGCCTAAAACTAAATATGCTGAAATTGAGACTTCAGCCCTTGAGAATACTCTTTTTCAAATGCTGCAACTGGACTCAGAAATAATTTTTGTCTCCTCTCTCTTTTGCGCAGCTTCAGTTCGAAGTTGACATTCTTTGCTAGATATAATGCCCTTATGTAGCATATAAATAAAATTTTCCAGTTATACTAACAGTCGAGGGTGGAATTTATTTAAATCCATGCTTTTCTCAAATGTCTTCAGCACACACTGATGAAAAGGTGTGAAATATCATTAGAAGACCATACCTTGTCAGACGATTTTCAGTTTAATGCAATAATACCTTTCATGAGCTCAACAGTCACTTCTACAACAAGATAATATATACAGATATATAGATACCATGTGCTTAAAAACATTAAGTTCTTTACTAAGAAAAACTGATGAGAGTAGGACAAGTAACATGAAAAGATGGAAATCAACAAAATGAAACTAGTTTAAATGCTCAATACGTAATTGCTACAGTTAAAGTTCAGGAAAGAAACGTCACATCAGTTCATGCCACACTTTCACCCAACAAGGCAATTATACTTCAGCCACATGATAAAAAATCCTCTGCGTTACTAGGTCTTTAAACCTTCTAGATTGGCCTTTACACTTTCTAGAATGAATATATTTCTTGCCCTTCTAACAGTAAATGGCGTAAATGGTGACCATACTAAAAAGCTCAATTTTGAATCGAAATTTTTTTTGAATTTTGCCTTTCTTTTCCCTCCATTCTCCTTTACTAATATCTAACGATTGAGTAATTAGAATACTAATTAATTATTAATAACTAATTAATGAAAATAATTGCTAAAAAATTCTTTAATGATAAATGATGACTTGTATTTACAAAATAACATCAATTGATATATCTGATGGAGGAAGGAGGAAAAAAAAGGCAAAATTGGAAAAAAAAATTTGTTACAAGAATCATAACAAATATTATGTCGAAAGAGATAACTATTTTATTTTGTTAAATTTTGTGATCATTAGTATAGTTTTGTTACTTATTTGTATCGTCTAATTTATTAGATATGAACTTTTTGGATTGTGAAATGTATGTATTAATTATTTCTAACTTTTAATTATTTTTATTTTTTTATTAATACAACTTTTAGACATGTATAAGGAGTATTTATGAAATAGAAGTTTCATCTCTCTTTTTAAACTGTTTTTTGAATGTTACTTTTTCTAATTGGACTAATTTTGTTATCAAAACTTAATCTCATGAGAGATTTATGTAATTTTGTAAATTTTAAGGAAAACTAGTGAAATTACAAAAACCTCAGGGAGGTTTCTAAAATTACCCCTAATATAAAAAGTCTAATTACAACTCTGCTTGTTTAAAAGCATGAATTTGGAACGTGGATATTGCACTGCGGCCTCCAGGTTCCAGACGCGGGGCATTTAAAAGCGGCCTTAATTTGAACAATCACATCAACGATGACGAATTTAAGAGAGAATCCCTCGTTCGTTGGTTATCCAATGTGGAAAAAAAATTTTGCACCAGGGCCTTCACTCCCATGCCATCGTTCCGCCTTTTATTATAGGGTTAATATCAGAATTCAAAAACCTTCCCTGAAGTTTCTTCTAATCACATCTAGTACCCTTCATATTTTCGAAATCACACCTAACACCCTTGGAAGTAGGATGTGACAGGCTGTCTCAATCAGAAGGGGAGAAATTACCCAAAAATCACCAATATTGTGTATTTAAGGGTAGGAATGCTATGATGTATACATAAACATGCATTTTTCCGTGTGTGTTGCATTAATCTTATAGTGAGTAAGAAGTAAAAAATTCCTAAATTGGGATATGTAGGATTGTTAAATTTTGTGGTGTATATTAACTATTGGAATCTACATTGCTACCTATTTCCTTATACTTCAACATGCACCCCAAATAATCACTGCAGAAGTTTGTATTATCTATGACTAATAAGGTTGACTTAGTTTGGAAGCATATGAAGCACTGAAAATATTACTTATACTTCATTAAATCGATTTTTCCGATTTGAATAAAAATATAGCTGCCAATGTACCAATTAGAACTGTTTGATTCCTTACTGAATCTCCAATCAACTTGCTGCAGAATTTCCCATTTAAGTGCTGCATATTAATGGTGTTGAAGGCAATTTATAGAGATTAAGCATCATCAGTTAACCATTGGAAGCAACAGTCACAGTAGCGGGGTCACCTGGAGGTCCATAATTATAACATTCTTTTTTATGACACTTTTACCCCCTCACCTTCTAAATTAATATCATATGCTTATTTATTTCTATTTTTATTTTCTAAAATTCAATAATCATCTTGGGCTGTGGGTAAAAATGGAACAAAAATAAAGTCTTTCTCTTATAATTCATTATTACTACTATTGTCAAACAGAAGCGCTGACAATGATACTAAAGTTGTCATTTCAGGGGTGCTAGGTGTGATTAGAAAAAAACTTAGGGGAGGTTTATGATATTAGCCCTTTAATATATTGTCATTTTTTCCTTTCGCGAACATTCCATTTTAAATTTTTTACTGGTTAGCTTAAATCTCAATAACTATGGGGTTGGTAGAATACAAAATTCAACAGACTAAAATGACAAAATTATCGAGAAAAAAATGGGATTTTTTTTTTTGTATTTTTGTTTTTCTATTGCATATGATTTTCTTTTTAGTTTGTTGTATTTTGTCCTTTACTCGATTAGTAATTACTGGAACTCAAGAAAATAAAAAATAAAAATAAAAAATAGGATATATGTAAAGAAAAATTGAACATATAATAAAATGTGAGACATGAAGTGGGACACAACTAATTTTTTACTAGTACCTACAATGTAGTAGTGTTGTGTTGATGAGAAATGAATAATTTTTCACTTTTTCTTTTATTTTTTTTTCCTTCTCTGTCTTTGGTGGATGATGATGAATTTACAAGTTAGAAAGTCCAGAAGATACGCGGTCATCGTGCAACGGGATATCAACAACGCCAGGAATTACGTGATTAGATTAGTCAACATAAATGTTCAATCGACCTCCAAAATTTATGGAGAGGGAAGATGATATACAATTATACCACTACATGATAGTTTTCCAGTGAATGTTTAACAATGGCATCCCAACTACCAAACCAATTAAGAGGGCTACTCCGTTCTATTGTTTACTTAACATACAAACAATTTTCATCCACCTGCAATTATATCCATACACGAGAGGGAAGAGCTAATAATATTCCGTCATTCGGGATGCACCTAACATAAAAATTCTACGCACAAGGTAAAAATAGACGCATTTATTTAAAAGATTGAAAATTGACAGCCCATCGTCATTGTAATGCAATCATCACAACCCATCAAAGTGCTTTAGACACACTGTAGATGCAGGTCCGGCATGCCAACTGCAAAGAGATCGAACAGTGAAAAGCAGAAAAAAAAAAAAAGGAAAGGAGAAACCTTTTTCTATTTACTGCAACTTCAGTTAGTTTTTTTGGGATCGATAAAATTACCATTTTTAGAAGCGTTTAAGTAATGAATGCTATATATGAATTAAACTCACTATATGAACATGCATATATATTTATCAGGTGTCTACGCCTTGATTGAGAACACACCCACTGAATAAATTCAAGAATTCTTACACAGCGCGAATTCAATTTCTTTCACTATCAGTTGTTATTGAACGCAACACTAGTAGTACTGTAAACAATATTGACCGGCGGCAAGTAGCAGAATACTGAGTACAGAGCAGTACCAAAGGAGGATGCATTGGCAGTGGAGTGCAAAATGACTGACATACATGAATACGTGTGTGACTGTGAATGAGGGAGTGGAGTAAACGGCAATGGACACAGTGGACTGGAATCACTGGGATAGACCGATAGAGGGATTAGCAGCGCAGCACAGCACAGCACCGCCTGACTCCGTCACTGGCCTTTGGAAAAATTGTCCATCCATCCCGTTCAATATAAATATAAATATAAATATTCTCTCCTCCTCTCCTCTGTACAAAAAAATTAACAGGCCTTCTTAGTTCTTTTTTTACTTTCTTTCTAGTGTTTACGTACTACTAGCAGTAGTCAGCACTTAATTATAGTATCAGTACTTGTTACTCACTAGTATTGCTATTCTTTCCTTTTTTTTTTTTTGGTCTCTCTTTTTTCTTTCCTTTTCATTCACCGACGCCTCCTCAGCCATAATAGTCATCATCTCTGGCCTCTACTCATTCTATAATATAGAGTAGAGAGAGGGAGCGAGGGACTGACTGGTCGGTGGATCTGAAGGAGACATCGGCGGGCGGTGAATAAAGAAAGACGAGATGTCGTCTGGAAGGTACATGGCTTACTCGCCCTCTCCCTCTGCCCCTCACTCTCCTCACATCGGCCCCGCCGCCGCCAGTGGTCTACGCTCCGCCGCCTCCGCCCTTGCTGAGCAGGAAAAGTATGACCTCCTTTCTAATCAAGTTTAGATCTTTTTTTCGATTCAATTAACTTCCTGCTTTCTTTGGATTGACGGGTTCGTTTTATATATGTTAAAGCCTGCTGCTTTTGATTATACCCACACTTCTCCTTTTGTTTTCTGTTGTTTTATATTGCTAGAAATTTCTTGTGATTTATTTCCTTCATAAGCGCTGGCTGGTGTTGTAATCTTTTATGTTCGTTGGTTGCCAGGTATTTATCCGAGTTACTTGCGGAAAGGCATAAGCTTAATCCGTTTATGCCAGTGCTGCCCCATAGTTATCGACTGTTGAATCAGGGTAAGCTGGTAGCTTCACTATTTAGATTATCTCCTGCTAGCTGTTGTGGTTCAATGGCTCGGCAGGAGGGTTTCTGGTTTATGTTTAATAGTAGTAATTGTCTGTCTATGTTAGATATGGTTGCCGCCCATGGGACGTTTTGATGAGATGGTTGAAGTTGTTACAGCCTATTTTTACAATTTTTTTCACTAATCTCTGGTTTGCTTTAGCTGACCCACACATCTTTGAGTCTTTGACGAATCAATTCATGACTGCCTTTGGTGGTTGTCTGGATAATGTCATGAGATCACTTGCAGAGTCAGTAAATCCCATAAAGGATATTCTTCTACTTTGCTTGATGAGCTTGTTTTAAGGCTTCATACAAGTCTGGCAAGGATAACATCAAAAGAAAACTTGGGAAGAAAATTACTCATGACATCCATCTTGGGCAATTTCTACTGGATCTTTCTTATGTTCCTTATTATTGAGTATGAGATTGACTTGATAAATAAATCTTTTATCCATTTATTATGTTGGTCTTATTTGTGCATGTAATATTGTGGTAGAAGCTAATTAACTGTGGAGCACGTGGCTGTAGAATAGAGTTGACGT